TGGGAAGGAAATAATTGGCTATTTTAAATTCATTATCCAGCCCACAGATTGTATCTCTAAGCATGCGATGGCGAACCTATGACACGCGTGTCAGAGGAGACACGCAAAACTCATTTTTTTGGTTGATTTTTCTTTGTTAAATGGCATTTAAATAAATAAATATCAAAAATATAATTGGCTATGGTTGAAAATATCAAAAAATTTCTAAATGTGACACAGCACGAGAGTTAAGTTAGGGTTTTTCAAAATGCTGACATGCCGAGGTCAAAAGGTTCGCCATCCCTGCTCTAGGCTGTCAACACTGTGTGTACTAATGAATAAAACTGATGAACAAAATAGCTTCAGAGACACAGAAGCATGGAACAGACGGTCAAACCTCAGAGGGAAGGCAGGGGAGGGTGGGTTGGTAGAAAGAGATCAACCAAAAAATTTGTATGCATATGCATAACCCCTGGACGCAGACAATAGGGAGGGGAAGGCCTGGGGCAGGGCGGGCTAGAAGAGCTACCCTATTCCACTTTTAGAAACAACTTTTATTACTTGAAATTTCCCCTCAAGTGTTTACAAAAATTAAAATGCACACACAGGTACGCACACACATGCAGACACACAGATGCGTGCATACACACACATGCAAACACATGCAAACACACATGCATACACACGCAGAGCCAGGGAGATGACAAAGCCCTTCTCTGCACCATGATCCCCTCCCACTTCTGGAAGCAGGAAAGTCATACTTTTGGGTTTTATTGCTTGGTTGGTTGTTTTTTCTTGTTTGTATTTCTTCTTTAGGGTAATGCATACTTTTAATTTTTTAATTTATCCCTATTATTGAAAATATTATAGATGTCCCCTTTTTTCCTCCTATTGACCCCATCCACCCTGCTCCCACCTGCCCCACCCCTAGCCTTCACCTCACTATTGTCTGTCCATGGGTTAGGCATATCCTATATAATAAAAGCCCAGCGACCAAATGGTGGAATGACCAGAATGACCAGTCCACTATGACGTGCCCTCACCATCAGGGGGCAGACACTCAATGCAGGAGCTGCCCCTTGGTGGTCAGTGTGCTCCCACAGTGGGAGCGCCACTTGGCTGACCAGGATGTGTGGCTGCTCTCGCTGCGAACCCCGGGCCGATGGGCAGGAACCCAGGCTGTGATCATTGACTCCTAACCCCAGGATCCTCCTCCTCTCCCCTGCCACCTCCTCTGAGCGCCCGCAGACTGCATAGTGCCGCCGCCAGGCTCCCAGAGCTGACCCCAGAGGCTGGGAGGCAGGTTCATGGCTGCCATGGGACTGAGGCCTACTCCACCGCCTCTCAGTGCTATTGTCCCTGGGCCTGGCCCCAACCGGGTCCCCTGGAGAGGCGAGTGCTCCGGCTCCGCGGAAGGTGCCAGACCAGGGAGCAGCTGCTCAGAGGGCAGGTCCACAGCTGCTCAGCTGACCAGGATGAGTGGTGCTCCCACAGCGGGTCGATCCCCGCAGGCCACGCCCCCCACCAGTGCATGAATCCTGTGCATTGGGCCTCTAGTATGCATATAAGTTCTTCAGTTGATCCACCATCCCTTCCCTCTGAGATATGTCCTCCTGTTCCATGAGAAACAGGAAACTCATTTAGTCTTGATATAATTTCCATCTACAGGTCCTTGGGTAACGTGGGCTAATATGGAAGAAATTGTACCATTTCTACCAAAGGGCAAGAAGGCTTCCAAACTTGAGTCACTGAACCAGTTACCACAGCCCCCTTGCTGGTCCTCAAACCACCCCACCCCAATACACACTGTGAGGTTCCTTTCTCTG